ATATTAGAGTATAAGATTTAATTTTTTTTACATTTTATTTAATTTACAATCTGTTCAACAAAAATAGAACAATAAGCTAATATGATAAAATTTAAATACAGTACAGTAGTTAGTCTTAATCCAACAGTAAAGCTAACACGCAGACTTTGCATATTGGTACAAATTTTAAAGTCCATAAGTTCCTAAAAACGACAACTTAGGTCCAAAACATGGCATCTTTTCAATCTATACACACGGTTGCTGTTGTCCAACAAATTTAAAGGAAGGTAGTTAGTACGGTACTCTAATTTCTTTAAGTATTTGGCACTTAACATTGAAATTTCTTCTTTGACCGTTGGGGTTCGACTGTCCCTGCGAAGCACTTCGTTATTAACGAACCATGGTGCCTGGAGAATGGGCCTTAGAACCTTAGATTTGACCCTTATTGTAGTGTTTAGTCAAGATTTTGTAGATTTGAAATAACCTCAACGGCTATGCCACTAGATGCCTGGGGTAATAGGGGCAAGGAACATACTTCCCGGACTGTATAAGACTAGATAATTAGACCAGATTTGTGTAATTTCGAAACATGTTTAACTTAAGGTCATGATTTCGTCCTTAACTCTAGGTATCTTCTATTGTTGGCATACCAAGGTGCATTAGTTACATTTCTCAGCATTGTGGATTGGTATCTATGGATAATTTGGATATACAGTATGTTTTTTCAAATATTTGAAGTACTCGCCGATCCTTAAAGTTGAACTCCGTATGTCCATATTGGTTTCAATATCAAATTTAATTCGGAAATCTCGTACTTAATCAGCCTGTCAACAAGGTAAACGACGGGACCTAATATGTGGTTATAGCGAGTTTTCAATGGACCTTTGATTGATGGTTCATCTTGTTGTTGTTCGGAAACCTACGTCCACCCTCCGCCATGGACCACGGGTGCCCTCTCACGTACTGTACTATACCACTGTCCACCGCGGGTCTAGGTCAAGCTAGGAACCTTGTCGGAGGAAATGCAGTGTATCGCCAGCCACTTCGCCACGGCCTTCTGTTCGGAACGAATGTCCCTCTATTCTCACATTTTGCACGTTACGGGTGTTAATTGTTTACGATCTAAGGCCAATACTTCCTCTCCTCTGTGGGGGATCGTTGACGTAACCACTTCCTTTCCTGCTTGAGCTAATGTAGAGTCAAAACATAAAACCGTTACTTCATGTCGTAGATTAAATTTCTACTTAATACAATAGGTTTCTCTATTACATTCATTTTTCAGATGTCCTGCTTAACAGATTTCCAAGATTGAGGTACCATATATTCCAGCGGATGACGAATGGCAATTAAAAAGTTACCTTTAGGACGTAGCCTTTGTTTTATTTCTGGAGAACGTTGTATATTAGTAATGTTATTTGTATGAAAGACAAAATTATTTGATATAAACACTAGCAACATAACCCGTTGTGGTTAAATAAGGGTCAATTATATGATTTTTGAAAACCCACCTCAAAATACACATTAAGTTTAATGAAAAAGGTTAGGGTTAAAAAAAAAAAACTAGTTTAGTTTGTTGTCAACAAACTAGAACAAGTTAGCGCAATTGTATGTGAATACTAACAATGCTTCCGATTTACTTATCACAATATAACACTGTAAGTTCTAAATTATGCTAACACTAGCAGAGTACCCGTCCTTCGTACGGGGTTGGCATATAATTATAAAATGTTTATTGCAGCTATGCTCAAGCTTTCTGTTTGCAATGGGGAAGGAGACAGTTTGACAACATTTGCTTCTTTAAAATTAAGGTACCGTATACTATAGTTTCACACATATACCATAGCTATAATGTTCTACTACTAAAAATAAATTATAAACAATTCGCAAAATATCACAAATTATTCATTGAATTAAAAACATAAACATAACTGTAATCAATCCTTCTTTGACAGTTCTCATTGCGTATCACATTATTTTGTTTCTGCTTAGTTCAAATTTATATTAGCTGGTTTCACAAGGGCAAAAAAATAGTGCTGCACCCTGTTGGTAAAACGTATAACTTTTTAATGCTTTTGCATATCATAGAACAAACCTTTTTATTTGAAACAGCTGACTAAATTTTTTATCTCCTTTAAATATGAATACTCGTAAGGTTAACATGGGGAACCACAGGGTCATTGGGGCGGAGCCCGAAAGGATTTTTGAGATAAGAATATGCCTATATGTTAATCGGGAATGTAAGCTATCATCATGCTAAATTTCAGCCCAATCTGTGTAGTAGTTAATGCGTGATTCAACTTCAAACAAGCAAACTTTCACATTTATAATATTAGTAAGATTCTTCAAGTAACACTGCAATTGCAGTACTACCTGAGGCATGTCCAAATTCAATGATTTGGATAAAAACAAGTAAGAAATCTATGGCAGAATCAAAAGGAAAAGTAAACAAACAAACAAAACCCAAAACAAATCTAAAATCTTATGTATCTTCAATATAAACTACAATTTAAAGTAAAGACGATTTATTCTCAGCACAATGCATAGGTACCGTCAACGTTACACGTTACTGAAATATAATTAATGAACTCCGAGTTTTTTGCATTATTTTTAATAGCAAGACACGGTATGAAAATTAAATAAAAAAGGAAGAAAATACTTTGAATCGTTGTATACATATAAATAAAATGTAAATACTCTTTGGACGACACAAATGATGTCATCAACTATAGGAAAATAAAACTCTTTCTATAATCACTTCATTTATACGTTCCTAAGGGTATCCTATAAATTTAAAACTTACAAATCAAGGCAGTTGTCGTATTAATAAATGAATTCCAACAATAACATAGCTTATCATCAATCCCGCACTCATCTTTCATTCATATTCCGGTTAAAATACACAGACAGTGCTTCGTGCCGGTCTTATCTGGTTAATATGTTGCATGGTATATCCTTTTTAAACGCAATATTGTATAAAATTCACATTATTCGCCATGAAGTAATTATTGTATCAAAGGTCAATAGATTTAACAAGGATTATTCTTATATTTATACAACTTAGGTAATTTTATGTTAAATTCACATTTCCATTATTGAATTGTTTTTTTGTATTAATCCAAAATTCAACCAGTAAAGAACATTTATTCTCAGCCTGTCAGATTGGTTCAGTTATCATTGCAGGATTTTGGGACAATTAGACTTAAAGTGAAACATATTATTTCTTTACAGCAAGACACAGTTTAACAATAAAGATATAAAACCAAATTACCCTGTTTGATTGTAAATATGTAAATCAAATCCCAATCCTTTGTCAAGAATATATCATGTCAACAATTACAGGTAAATATAAAATATCTTATTATCCATTAAGTTATGGTAAGATTTTTGCAGACATTTTCCAAATCCGAATAGTAAAAACAAAGTAATGGCAAATGTCGGCAAAATTCCAAGTAATAAGGTAGAATTTCCATCACTAAGCTTAGTCTTTTAAAAACCATAAAATAATAATTAATTGTTTCTTACTTATCAAAAACCAATAAACCAATAAAAAGTCATTTATCGTTTTAAGAAGTATTAGTGATTGTGATAAAATATTTTCTTTCTTAGTAAAATTATAGATACCTAAAACATACTCCCTTAGGTAAAATGCATTGTTCTATAAAATTGCACATCATCCAACGTATTTGGCAGTGGTTAGAGGATTGATTGTTGTAGGTCGAGCCGCCACGGCACTACGAACTACGAGCTGCGCACACTGGTGCATACTCTCGCTGGAAAGCCTACACAATGCCATTTTTTGTAGTCATAGAGCAGTGGTCACCTGAGCTACGTGCAGTTGTTATGGAGTTGTTTTTAAAATGTATTGAATTCATTCTTAGCAACTCAGCGGCATCCGCAGTTTCATGCATTCTTTCAATTAAGGCGACATGGAGAAGTTCCGTTGCGTATCACAATAATGCGGTGGGTTATTAACTTTAGAACAACGGCTTCTCCGTTGAAAAAGAAGCTGAAAGGCCGTCCAAAGTCAGATCAGGCGCCAGAGAACTAACATTCGATAGAGTACATGCTGCTATGGAACAGTCCTCGCATGCCCACCCGAAAACAAACGGCTTGCCGAACATGCCTGACTGCTCAGTTACTCGAATTTTGAGGTTAATTTTCATCCCTACAGATTAATTAGAATAATAGTCTGTTTATTGTGTTATCCATACAGATAATCACGATGGAACATCTCCATGTCGACATAATAAAAAAAAATACGGAACTGCCACTGAGTTGCAATGACTGATTTACTACTTATTAAAAACGACTAGATAACAACCGCACGTAGCTCATACAACCACTGCTCTATGATTACAAGAAATAATGGCATCATATAGGCTAACCAACGAGCCTACTCCCACCACCCTCAGACGGCCTGTCGCTGAACAGTGCGCTGAAGAAAATAGATCGGTTTTTTTGCCGCACCCTGTATTATGTTTTTTCTTGGATTTTTATTTTTCTGCTATAAAGTCATTTTTGCAAGATTGAAAGGTATTGCATTATTAGTTATGCCTCGGAGACAAGCTGTGAACACTATTAAAATAAACAATTTACACACTTTTGTCCTCTCCGTTATCTTTCATGCTGTACATTTTACCAGTTTAGTAGTATTTTGCCATTGAAGGGGTACAACATATGATGAAGGATTTATCTAACCTAGCGTAATGGGTTTTGTAAGGGAGGCAACATATGATCAAGAATTCATCAAACCCACGTAATGTTTAATTTTGAAGGGGTGATCATAATGAGGAAGAATTAATTAATCCAACCCACATAATGTTTGGTACTGAAGAGGTGAAACTTATGTGATAACGGATTAGTCATCTGACCCACGAATTGTTGGCTCAAAAGAGGCTTGGCTCGTAGTACAAAGATTGATCCAGTAGGCCTAGACCGAGTGGAGGGTTTCATCTGACCCCGGTGAGGGCCGTGGAGTGTGGAGATGGAGGTGGAGGTTGTTGGTGTGTTAGTGTTAGAGTGTTGGAGGGGAGAGACGCTCAGTCGCGCTAGACTGTCGACACACGCTCAGCTGCTGGTAGGTTGTCATCTCACTATATAAACATGATGTTAAGGACAATTACAATAATAACTTTATAATGACGTAATATATGGTTTTACCAAATTTCACATAAATCCCAACTATTGTTTTGTTGTGAGCAAAGGATATTAGCTGTAGTGTAAAATGAATACTCTTGGTGTTAGATATTAAAAAAGTCGAGTAGTAAAATAATGTTCATAAGCTTTCTTTTGAAGATTCGTGAGCTTCGATTTGTATCAGCAATGGTTATAGAATCCTACTTACTTCCTATAATCAATGAGAAAATCTACGAGTAAATAAACTAACCTCATAGTTCTATAGAATATTTGTTTATTCAACCAGCTGTTAGTTATAACAAATTATATTTCACTAAACAAACTAAATATTTTAAAGACTGTTAAAAAAAAAAAAAATTAGAACATCTAGTATTTTACTATGTATATTTAAATAAACTCCATCCTCTTGCCGAATAAATGAACGTATCAATGATTACAACATTACACATAGTATAAATAAGTCAATTCTACGTATGTCATTTCATTTTCACCCAAATGATGAATTTGTGTCGAAAACGCTGAATGTTCACAGCTGTTACGTTAAGCAAATGGTATTATACCAAAAGCTAGAGTAGAATGTTAGCGTCAGCTGCTAGACTTTTTAAAATTTAAAACTTCATTTCAAAAAAACTGAAAGCCTAAAAAAACTATCTTTCATTCAACACAAAAATCATGAATATCCGTCAAGTGGTTGATTCAGAATCGTGAAATAAAAAACCCTGTCACGTTTTAATATATACGAGCTGTTGGCCCGTCCTACGTACGGGAATCGAGTAGTCAATTAAAACTGAATATGATTCAGTACAGCTAGTTTACAATTTGGTGGCTGATTCAAACACACTGGTTTTGAGTACAGTAGCTACATACTACCTTCCATTACATAGGCCTACTATCACTTACCGTACCTTATTTTACCTTACTGAAACCTCTAAAAGAATTCTGGTCTCCCGTTCTCGTCTATCCCCTGCCTTTTCTAACGAAGATACCAGTTTGAAGATGTCTTTCGTTACTTGGTCTTCCAAGTGGTCGTCTGCCTAGTAGTACTCCTTCACTCCTTGGAATACACTCTAAGTTTATTACGTATCTTCTCTCCGCCACGCAAAGCCTGTCCAGCCCACTTTTTGGTCTACTTTTGGAATGCGCCCCTTTTTCAAGTTTCATACAGTAATACTGGGATGGTTATGGTATGGTATGAATCGATTTTGGTTTCTACTGACAGCCTGCATCTTATCGTACAGTTTTCTAGAGACCTACTACACCAGTTGACATAAAAAATGTCGGCATGCCGTCATACACATATTAGAACAGCGAGAAAAGGATGTATCAACATGTAATCCACTTATATCTTAAACGAGCGAAACATTTCATGGCATAAACTTACTCTTTCACAGATTGCATTTATGACAAAACTGTATTATACGTTTGAGATGTTAAGCTCAAAATTAAAAATCTCCTGATAACGCAGATCTTTTGTGGTAGGAAAAAACTACATTTTAAGGTGAAATAGTACGTACGCAATCTCTAACGATCAATCTTTCGTAAACAAACAACTTGTAACGTAAACATTTCAATGACACTTAGAAACCAGCTGTTAGTTAAACCACCACTGCAACGAAATTAAATTGCTAGCGTCGGCTGCTAGACTTTTTAAAAATTAAAACTTAATTTCTAAAAAACTGAAACCCTAAACTAAAATTATGGCTTCGACATTCCCTAGTTCTCAAAATTATCTTTCTTTCAACAAATAAATCATGAAAATCCGTCAAGTGGTTGAATCAGAATCGTGAAATAAAAAAACCCTGTCACGTTTTAATATATAAGATGATGAAAGTTTATATTTATATTATAAACTATAGTTATAGTTACATACGTGTGAACGTTATAGTTTACATTGTAAATAGCATATTAGAATTTTACAAGATACATTTACTTGAAAAGTTATTTTGAACATAAGGGTTTACTATTTTATCATGATATGAACATTATTTTTTATAGGCAACATCAATTTACAGTTTGTTTTCAAATAACTTAGGTAACTTTTATAATTATGTACATTGCACATTTTTAAACTTTATCCTGGAAACTAGTAAGACTTATGTGTTTGATTTTTTATTACGATTGCAATATCTGATAGAGACTAAAAACATAGTACAGCTTTATGAGATTATCTGAAGCAAACTAGCAAAATCAACCTGCATAGCAAAGAAACTTAGCAATATCGTAGACCTAGTTTGTCTAAAGTCAATCTATTATATTATTAAAGTGATACAATCAAATTTTGTGTAAACGGTTAAGGCCATTTACCAAATAGAAATATAGGCATATGGCATATCAAAATGAAGCTTAGAGTGTGTAGATTTGCCGAAAAGTATTGATATTGACGAACTCCCTAAGGGCTCTGCCCCACAGGCTAATATCCAAAGGGCTGCGCCTTGCATGTTTTGAACGTTATTCGATTAATTTAGTGAACAACAGCTGGCCAATACAATTGACAATATAGTTTGTTTACATTTTTGTTTACCTATTTTATTATTTACTTTTATGTTCTTAAAAGAGGTGCGGTGAATGGACGGTGAAGCTATTTGTAGCTGTTTGATACAAGTGAGTGATTAAAGGTGTTCGAAACACGATGAATATGAGATTAACAAACTATGTATGTTGTTCGTTCCAAGAGGCTGTCACTAATCTTTAACAGGTCGCAATTTCATCGATAGGTATTAAAGTATTAAAGACGTCGTGAAAGAGAGCGGCGTGTTCAGGCACAATCGTACCCACCTCGGCCACCTTAGGACGTAAGGTATGAAGGTTCCACTGCTTTTAACATCCTTTCAGATGACAATTTCTCGAACTTGGGCCCTTAAAATTAAATATAAAGTCGTTAATATATTAACGGTGGCTTATGTACACCCGTGAGTTTGCGGGTAGAACCTCTTGTAAAATTAAATACATGATTGACATGATCTTAAATAGGTTTAATTTGTAAATTGGGCCGGTTGTATAGGCTACTAACAAAAGCGTCAAAATCATAAATCTGTTAAGAAAAGATGCCTCCGATCTCGCATATTGGAAAATAATAAATTTCTGTCTGTAAGGATTATGTCGGTGAGCTGTTTATTTAATTGCGGCACTAGACGAGACAAAAAGCCAAAATTCACAAGGTTTTTACTTTTTCAAACGGATGGTAGTACAGTAATGTCGTCAATGATAACCCTCAAACCGCAACGTTGCTGACCGGAACAAAAGATAACTGATATCGTTATATGTCAGAAGTTATACATAACCCAAATACCCACAAAGGTTTTAGCGATCAGATTTTTTTTAGTTAATCAGATTTTTTACAAAACAGCCAAAACTGTTGACAATGACCTTAGGGCCTAACAAGGTGAATATTTTAATTGAGTCAGTAATTAGATACCTACATATTTTCAGCTGATTATAAACAAACCTAAAAATCTATCTATCTATCTATATATTAATAGGCAAGCATGTTTCTTTAAAACCTTTTTTCTCAGCTCATGTGCATCGTAGGGAAAATCTACGCATACGGTTAGAAAGCTATTTTCCTGTAGGTGTGCAGAATCCCTTTATAAATTTAAATAGGCTCAAAGATAAGCGCAAAAAATGAGTTTAAAAATTTGAAAAAATTTACATGGATCTTATGCGTTGCCATGCTGGTGACGAAATAACAACGAAATATAAACAGAAAATCAAAACAAATGGAAGAAACTCCAATCACATGTTTTATTTACAGTGTGGGGGGCTGCACTTTACTTGACGTCCTACACTCATTTGAATGAAAATATCGATCGATATATCGATTAATCGATTGCTTCATTCGATATATCGTTTGGTTAGTTAGGTAAGGTTAACCTAACCTAACTAACCAAACGATATAGGTATAGAATGAAACAATCGAATGAAAATATCGAATCGAAAAAAACAATCGAATGAGTGTAGGACGTCAAGTAAAATGCAGCCGTGGGGTGAAACATTAACATAAGTGAGCACATTAAGTACATATTTTTGGTCGAGTTTCGACCACTGGACATTACTCGTTTATTTAAATGTACACAACCATAACTACCAAATGCTTATTTCACAATTTCAGACAGCTGATCTAAATAAATTAAATATATTTTACACAACTATGTGGTAGGATTATTTAATCTTAAAAACTGTATGATGGATTATTTATTCTAAATATATTTCAATGATTACGAAACAGATTTTTCTTTCCGTTGCAAAGCACGGGTACAGCAGCTAGTCTATATATTAATAGGCAAGCATGTTTCTTTAAAACCTTTTTTCTCAGCTCGTGTACATTGCAGAAAAAATCTACGCGTACAGTTAGAAAGATATTTTTCTGTAGGTGTGCAGAATCTCTTTAAAAATTAAAATAGGCTCAGAAATAAGCACAAAAAATGAATTTGAAATTTGAATAAAATTAACATAGGCTTTTTGGGTTTCCCGGCTGGTGACAAAATAACAACGAATATAAACAGAAAATCAAAACAAATAGAAGAAATGCCAATCACATGTTTTATTTACAGTGTGGGGTGAAAAATAGAGAAGCCTGTACAGTGCAATTGGGTTTTTTAGCTAGAAGCGGTTAAGATGTGGTGGAATATCTTTGAAGATAAACCTTTGTAGTGCGATCATGTGTTCATACGTGTCAAATTTTAAGGTTAAATCAAAACGTACAAACTGGCATAGTATATTCTTTTAATTTAAAATAGACACACACTCATATATATATATATATATATATATATACAGGGTGAGTTTTTTAAAGTGATCCAATAGCTAACTTTTTAATTACAGGACTTAGCACCTCACTTTAAATTTGAAACTTGCTCAGTTTTAAGTTTCACTCAAGAATACGATTTCAGATTTTTTCATTGTGGCCGCCATTTTCCAATATGGCTGCCAACTTTAAAATTT